ATTTCTCGGACTGTAAGGCAGGTGGCTTCTGCCTACGACAGTCTGTACCTTTGAGGTTGGTGGACACGAGCTGGTTAGCATCAGACTCATGATATCTTTCCTTCCTCACTTTTCATTTCACCTAGTGGTGAACACATCAATATATTAGGCTCTATTTCCGTGTGGGTTGGTCCCCGCATCGCCGTGTTAGAGTTGATTCCGTGCTTCAACCCGGGACACACTACACGAAGTTTTAAACCTACTAAAGCTGAAGGAAGACGGCTACCGAGTCCTTCGCAGTCGAAAGATCGAGGTGTTGGAAGACTACATTACGCTATTCAACCGCGAGAAATCAGCAGATGAAACTCTGCTGAAGGTCTTGACAACAGGCGTCGGTGACGAAAGTCAAATTGTTCCGATTCTAGAGAAAGCAAGGACAAATTCGCGCTCGGTGGAGAAGGCCAACGAATTGGAGACTGCTCTACTGACTAAGTGGAGAGGCGAGAATTTGTCTCCGATGACCGTCTGGTCGCGCCTAAAGTTCTCTGACAACGTGGACAATGCTCTGAGTAGCGGAAAGCTGGGGATGTTTTCCAAGTATATCGCTAAGTATTATCCGAACAATGTGAAGTCTGTGCTAGAGAGATTCACAGTGAAATACGGAGAAGACGCAGTTGCAAAGGCACTAGTAACAGCCACGAACAAAGGGACGATGAAGGATTTCGCGTCGAAGTTGCAGACACAGCAGCTAGAAGGCTGGTTGGCGAGACAAAAATCCGCTGGTGATGTCTTCAACCTATTGAAAATCAAAGAGGATGGTGTTTATCCATGAAAAGCCGAAAGGTGATCGTCCTGAGCAAGTACGTCAATCTATTCAACGGCAAGAACCCGCAAGATAAAACGCAATTGTTCAGCGTGATGAAGAACGGATTCGGTGGCGATGGTGGCCTAGCACGTATGGTCACTGCGGCACGGAGAGTCGGAGATCCAGAGATAGAACTGACCGCCAAGCAATATCAGAAGGGGCTGTTTAAGCAATGGTTTGCAGGCGACATCAAACCGGAGAACGTGTACGCGAAGTTTCTCAACGGAAAGGAGGGCCATATGGAAAAGGCGATTGTAGCCCAATACAAAGCACACTACGACAAGCAAATGAATCCCCAAGTATACACCTTCAATGATCCCAGGCGTTCTTAGCTGCTTCCTAGTGTCGGCTAACGTAAACGAGAGCCATTTACGGAATCATTTTATCCTTACTTTAAACAACATACGTGTGCATCTCTTCTTCAAGTGATAGGATTTCTGTCAGGGGTATCTGTCACCTAGACAAGGCAAGCCAACTTGTACTCCACGACCTCAGTAATGGAACGTTTGTCTCTGAAGTTTATTTCAAGGAAGGATCTTCGTGAGGGGGGGTACACTTACCCATGAATGAATGAATCCAGGACAAATAGTAGTAATATTGATTGCAGCTCTTACTAATAGTTAATTTTGAGTGATTAAAGCAATTTGAGTACTATCACATAACATTACTGAGGCTAGTTAAAATTGACGCAAAAACTAATACTGTAGCGAATAGTAATTTTGCACCTGAGTGAGCTGACATATTATTAGCTACTTCATAATAGTACTAAAGTAAATCTTAGGTGGCCTCTCTCCTTCTTAGACAAAGCGTATATCGTAGTTTGGACACTTGACCTCCACGAAGGATTGTGCCCTTGTCCCCAATAATTCTCGACCATAGTACTATATTAAAATAACTGAAGTGTAGTAGTATGTTACTCTCAGAAATTGCCAATCATAGTATTAGGCTCGTCTCTCTGCTTCTGCTAGTATTATAGTAATTAAGAGAAATCCGTTGTCGGAGCTTCATCTAGTATAGTTGCTTTATTTACCGAAAAGCGGTACAAGTCGTGATAGATACATCTCCTGATAGCATTAAAAATGGGCTCCCCGAAGCTACAGTATCACTACCGAGAGGTTCGTCTAGAACAACTCCGCGTTGTGAAACATTCGGTCGTTTGATGAGTCTCAAACTTGATGAGTATCAGTCTTGATGAGTCCAATCGATACTCCAATATATCATAGGTGGGTAGCTGAAGCAGCTTTGAGAAGGAATGAATTGGTACAGGCGATTTGGGCTGATTCGTTATCAAATCAACAGAGCCTGATACGGCAGGATAAAAGCTTGGAGGTGGAGCTTGTGAAGTGAACACATTAAATATATTCGGTTCACTGGCTCTGAGAATCCACAACAACATCAACATGCAATTAGTTATATACTTACAGCTAGTAGTTATCAGGTAGATGCATGACCAGGAAAATTTTTGACTGGACGTCCTGAGTTACGCTCCTTTCTCAGTTTGCATTTCGCATAGACTCTCCGAGAGATCAAGTCCTAACAACGAGCACTAAGTACACCTCGATAATGCCCCGCTATTCCATCGCATTATTTTCTGTCGCTACTGTATTCGTTGTGTCTATCGCCAGCGCAGTCACGGCGGTCGACTTGTCCGCTGTCGTTAGCGTGAAGCGAAATGGTATCATTTGCAAGAGGTTGTTAAGAACGCATGAAGCAGAGAATGAGAACGATGAGAGAGCCGGCTTTGGGGGTCTAATTCAGGAAGGAACATCAAAGGTCAAAGATTTTATCACGACTAAGAAGTACAAGTCCTTGGTGAACAGGTTGCAGCTCGGTGATGACTTCCTTGATAGTGTGAAGAGCCCACAGCTGGAGAGACTGAACAAGCTCGTCACTAAGTTCAACCGTAACAAAGACCAAGAAAACCAACTTTCGTTGATCGGACCTCTTTCAGCTAAATATGGAGACGACACTGTCGCTACGATGCTCGTCGATCTAAAGAAAAACCCAGAACTAGCCAAGCTGGCGAAGCAATTGCAGGACCAGCAACTGACAGATTGGCTAAAGAACGGCAAATCTGGGGGCGATATTTTCAGTCTGCTGAAGCTGAAGGACGACGGCAATATCGGTAGTCAAAAGCTCCAGGTTTTGGAAGACTACCTTACCATAGTCAACACTAAGAAATCCACAGACGAAACACTGCTGAACGTCTTGACAAAAGGCTTTGGTGGAGAGAGCAACTTGGTGCCACTACTAGCGAAAGCAGGTATTGATCCGTTGATGGTTGACAAGTCGAAAAAGCTAGAGGCTGCTCTGTTGACCAAATGGCGAGACGATAACGTGCCTCGACTGACGGTTTGGGTCCGGTTAAAGTTCGACGATAACTTGGACGAGGCTTTGAGCAGCGGGAAAATGGGTATTTTTTTTCAAGTATGTATCTCAAAACCATCCAGACCACGAGATATCAGAGATCAAGAAAATCACTGCGAAATATGGAGAATTTGCGGTGGCAAAAGCACTCGCCTCTGCGAAGGACGACCAGCTCATGAAGGATTTGGCAATGAAGTTGCAATCGCTGCAGCTAGAAATTTGGCTGGCGAATAGAAAATCTGCTGCCAATGTGTTCACTTTGTTACAGATCAAACACGATGGCGGATCCATGAAAACCTGGAAAATGGAGACCCTACGTGAATACATCCAGCTATTCAACTCGAAAACCCCCCAAGACAAGACAAAAATGTTTGATGTGTTAAGAAATGGCTTCGGTGACGGTGACGGTGCTCTTGCACGCGTGGTTACTAAGGCACTAACGTTGGCAGATTCACCCCAGATGGCTGCCCAATACCAATCGGCATTGTTTAGGCGATGGGTGCGAAGTGAGATAGAACCGAGAAGCATTTACGCGAGGTTTCTTAACGTTGACGAGGCGTCTGCAAATTTCTTGGAAAGGTCGATTGTAGCGCAATACAAAGCGTATTACGACGACGTGAAGAATCCTCCCCAAGCTGTAACATTCCATGACCCTAGACGCTCTTAACATGCATTACGGTTGAGACTCCGAGTTTGTCGTCTCGCCTGAATATTCATAACGATATGCCGGGGCCCCGGTGCTTGTTGAACCTCAATATAGAGCGAGGGGAGCTTGAAGTAACGTTGAAGTGCAATTTTAAATTGCAATGCCCACTTGCATGATCCCGGCGGCTTGCAATACTCGATTGCATTCGAAAAGCTAACTGCAATGTAAACTGCAATAGGGTGTAATCCAAGAAATCGGTGCAAATTGATTCTTTCCATTGGCTGGATCTGAGGATCATTGAATTTCTTAGTCGTGAACACGATTTCTTGGTGATGCTGCGATCATGAGCTAGCGGCGCAAAATGGAAGCTCAGAAAACTGCATTTTCTTACGCCAAAATGAACGTACAACGCGAACAGGTGTGGTGGGTCTCGCAAATGAACACCAAAATGGGGGAGCTGGCACTCCCTTCACGTCTTTGCCTGGTGTATTAAGCAAAACACAAACTGTTACTCTTTCTATTCTACTACTCTATCCGCCAGCTCGGGCTAGCAAGCCTTTCAACCAGCCATTCACTCGAAGGTTGGCAGCCCTTGATTAGGGGCGTTACAAAAAAAAATTGTGAGAAATTAAAGCCAATTCTGGCTACGCTGGTATATATTTTCCGATAGTGGAGTTATGGGAGTTGGAGAATTATTGTACGTGATTGCTTAATCGCAGATGAGAAAGAATATGTTTTGATTGCTTAACCGCTAGGCACTAATAATATATTATTGTATTGTAAAATTCGTAGCGAGTGATCCCAGTGAGATTGCTTAGCCCAAATGTGACAACCACTTGTTGACATGATTACTACGCCACTTGGGCTTGAAGTGGCCGCGATATCAACAAGCTTTATATGAAACGGAACGCAAGAAGTACAATGTACTGCATTGTCGAAGTAGACTCATGGTCATTTTGGAATTCACCTCCAACAACAACCATCACCTCAAGCATCATGCCTTCCAACCCCAAGTCTACCCGTATGACCTACCGTTTTCTCGGAAATTCCGGTCTTCTCGTTTCCAAGGTCTCACTTGGTAGCTGGATGGACATCAATGACAAGTACACCGCCGATGCCTGGTACGACATGATGAAGCTGGCCTTCGAACACGGCGTCAACTTCTTCGACAACGCTGAATTATACGGCGGAGGTCTCGCGGAGAAGAACATGGGCGCAGCTATCAAGAAAGGCATCGCGCAAGGGACCTGGAGCGGTGAGGACCTCGTCATCACCACCAAGATCTACTTCGGACCAAAGGATTTCATTGCGGAACGAGGTCCAAACGAGATGGGTTTGAGCCGTAAGCATATCGTGGAAGGCACGAAGGCATCGCTGAAGAGGTTGGAGCAGGAATACGTCGACGTCATCTTCTGCCACCGCCCCGAGCCATACACGCCGATCGAGGAGACTGTCCGAGCTATGAACTACGTGATCAACCAAGGCTGGGCCTTCTACTGGGGCACCAGTCAATGGAGCGCAGCTGCGATCATCGAAGCGTGCGAGATCGCCGACCGTCTTGGACTGATCCGACCCATCGTGGAGCAGACGATCTATAGTATCTTGGATCGCAACAAGGTCGAGTTCGAGTATGTCGATTTGTACAAGAAGTACAAGCTCGGTCTAACGACTTGGTCGCCTCTTGCGAATGGAGCACTACAGTGCTGGGACGCCTGAGAGTTCCCGTATGGCCAATCCGCTTTTCAAGTCTCTTTCGCCAGATTTCGCGGAGCGTGTGGCCAAGGCAGACAAGCTGAAGCCTCTGGCAGAGAAGCTCGGTATCTCCATGGCAGAGTTGGCTGTTGCCTGGTGCGTCAGTAACGAGAATGTGTCGACGGTCATGATTGGTGCCAAGACGATGGAGCAACTGGAGCAGAATCTCAAGGCCGTCGAGGCGTTGGAGAAGATTACTTCGGACGTGAAGGCAGAGATCGACTCGCTAGTTCCGTTTGTGCCGGAGTTATCGAAGTCTATTGGATCTGAGATGACGCGAGGGCATTTTCTGTAGTAGTGCTGCTGGCGGCGTTTGGAAGCTTTCAAAGTTGCCACAAACACAAGTCGTCATCAGTGGCGGTGAATCATAACCCCTCTAGCTTGGAGATGCTCGGATTAACATTAGCCATTCTACAAGTTGAAGATTGATACTTTTCCAGAGATTTAAAGCAATTGGGAACTAAGTACTGTTTGTAAGTGAGGGAATTACCGCATACGAAACCTCCTAGGGGATCTTCAGTCCGTGATGGCATGCTTGGATAAAACTGAGCAATTTCTCAACGGCCACGGATGTTCCCTTCAAAGAAGTGCAAGTCCTTATTTGGTGTAGTCTGCATCCTTCTCAACCTTTTGCGTTCTTTGTAGCCCCTGATAGTAGTTCGTTGTCTCGCCCGAAATAATACGTCGAGACCCCGGTACTTGTCGAATCTCTAGATAGAGCGAGGGGAGCTTGAAGTAACGTTGAAGTGAAGCTTTGCAATTTTATATTTCAATGCCCACTTGCATGATCCCTGCGGATTGCGATACTTGATTGCATTCGAAAAGCTAACTACAATGCAAACTGCAATCAGGCGTAGTCCAAGAAATCGATACAGATTTTTTTTTTCATTCCCTGGGGCTACAGTATTGTTGTTCCAGTGATGTTGGCTGCTTCTTGTGAACCGCTTCAGAGCATTCAATAACACTACTAATGTCTTTGTGGACTTGCCATTTCATCGTAGATAATCCTCCTTGCTGGCGACATCAACAACTAAAGACCTGGAGGCACGCGGTCATGCTATGAAAATTAACGGGTTGTAGTGGCAATAACAAGGCTAGCCCACCGTCTTCACAAGGCCGCGATTTTGTTTTTCCTGTACTGTATTCTTTCTAGTTGGGTAGTAGACGACGTGAAGGCTGAAGTCAAACTCCAGGACTTGATTGTGTCAGGATTGCTTTGCTGTATCATAGTTACCAAATACTGAAGGTATTACGCTGTACGTTGTTGCGCTTCCTCCGCAAGTTCCTTCCACGACCATCGTCCCAGTAACATGCACAGCAACAGCGAGACAGAAACAAACACACCGAAACCAAATCCGAGCCATAAACCTTCCACACTCAGCGCCAAACGGAATCCTAATAACGCTGCGACAGGGATCCCGCACGCATAATAAGCCACTGTACTTACAGTTGCAGCCACTTTCTGCTTCCCTAGGCCGCGATACACACCTTGTAGAACCGTATTCTGTCCGTCGAGGATCTCAAAAGGAGACCAAATTGCCAATAGACCCGCCGATCGATTAATACTCTCGCGATCTGTAAGAAAGAGGCGTGGAATTTCACCCCGGAACAAATACATAGTAACTGCAAATACAATCGAGATCGCCAGTGTCAATAGCTGTGCCACTTTACACGCAAGTCTTGCCTGGTTAGGCAAATTAGCCCCGAGGCAGTTGCCGATTCGAACGTTTGAAGCTACCGCCAAACCCCAGAATATCATATATATCAAATTGTTCAAATTCACTTGTACTGCATGAGCACTGACGGATACAACCGCATTCGGGAGAACTCCAGCCATCAATGTGAGTATCTCGAAGGCCCACCATTCCGTTGCAACCATAAGAAAAGAAGGCACGCCCAGCTTTAAAAAGAGTCTCACTTGTGCTCTGGCCTCGCCCCAGTTCCAGCCTCGCCACCACTGATTAAAGTGGTGTGGGTTACCGTAAAAATACGGCACTAACATCAATGGCAACGCCATGTTGCCAAGAGATCTGGACAACGCGATGCCCTCAAACCCCATCGACGTATGATACGTCAACAAGTAGCCGGATACTGCGTTCACAAAGCTACCGACTGCTGCGATAGCCACAAGAGGTTTCATGATATTCTGTGCCTGCAAAACTTTTCGAAATAGTTTGTAAAGAAATACAAAAGGCACGCCAAAAATTGCCCAACGCGAGAAATTTTGCGCCAACTTTGCCACTTCCGGGTCTTGACCCACGAGCAACAAAATCTCCCCGGAATACCAGTTTAACAGGAAAATTGGCACAAAGCAAGCCCCAACGACCAGACATCCTGTTTGGAAATACACTCCGATCTTGTCGAATCGGTTGGCGCCATACGCCTGTGAACACAGCGTATCCAATGCTGTCGATAGCCCCGAACCCACTGAAAAAGCTGTGATGTTCATGAACTGTACAAAATAATTCAGCTACGGCAACAAGTGAATATCCAGGAAATCAGGGGGAAATTACCATGGTGGATAGAGTAGCGGCATCCACAAATTGCTGCGCGTGCGGAGAGTCGATGTGCCCGGATAGGATAATGCATGTGAAGCCTGGCAAAAATTCCAGTCCCGTTGTCAATACCTGTAGAATTGCGATTTCACAGTGAACATGTTGTTAATCGATAGGCAACTATTTTATCGTGAAGGCTCCGGTTTTGTTTACCACGGGGTAGACTAGTGACAGCAACACTTGCAGTTCTTGCGCGATCTTGGGATCTGCTTCGTTTGGGAAGTCTTTGCAGGTATCGGCAATTGCCACATACGTTTCCGGTTGCCGTTTGTCGTGGAGCAAAGGCGAACGCTCACCCGTGTCACGTACAGCAGCGATCCGGCGAGTTTTGGGCGTCATGGTGGAGAGTTGGTGGAAGATCGCAACTGTTGACACGACAGAAACTCTTAGGTTCGTCTTAGGTTCGGTTTTACAAATGAGAAACTCGACGTGAGATCGCATACACTCGATGCTGGCAACGAGGCACTCACTCATCAGTGATGGTTTGCCCTGTCTAAAGATGTGGTGCATGCAATTTTAATCAACGTGTGCAAAAGTTGACGTCGGAATTCAACTTCAGTTGCAAAGATACTAATAATACTGTACCACATCAGCGATAAAACGACTTGAACTTGCCAACTACTGAAACGAGTTCTGTTCTCAGCGATCCACGCATCAAATATGCAGTCGAGCACGAAATAATACACTTCTTCATATTGTTAACCCAAAATGCAACAGCTAGAGAACAAAAGACGAGCCAACACGCAACAGTTCCGCCTATTCCAGTGAAAGAGACACGAGATTGAGCGCCGGAGCGATGGTCAGCAACTCCCAGCGTAACATTCCTTGCAACGTGTCTCCAGCATTACGGTGTGCATGTTCCTCTCCGCGGTAATCCGTGCGGCCAGTCCAGCGCAGTTGCTGGTATTCCTCGCCTGTGGCCGGATTTACCACATTAAGAAACTCGATAGATAGTGACAAATGTGCCCACGCCAGCTTCTCGTCCGTCTCGTCCTGCAAATGAGACCCATCGATGTCCACACTCTGCGTGCCGAGGACATATCCCGTGGCTTCGAGCATCGGCTCCTCGGTCTCTGAGTCCGAATTAGGCGACAGTGGCGGTGTGGAAGGGGAGCTGGCGTCGACATAGGTGGGTGTTGCCATCGATTCCGTATTTGCCGGGATTCTCCTGTTCGTTTCAATAAGGAAACGCACAAATACCGAGCGGAATGTGGAAATGTCGTCGGTGGGAGAGATGACATCTCGACCGAGCACGTACGCGTTCGGATTAATCTGTTGCAACACCTCTAGGCGGCTCGTCTCGCATTTGACTTTCTTAAACCGATCCAGTCTCATGTCATTGGCCCAGGTCTTTTGCATCAGCTCGGCCACGTTAAGCCCCTGGAATTTCTTGGTAAACACACATTCCATGACGCTGCCATCCACTCTCTGTACTATATCCCAGCCAAAAGTCTGCATTCTCTTCGTTCTGCGAGTTTCCAAACGTGGCAGTAGCAGTCTGTTTTGCACCCGCCCCATAGTCCGGTTGTTGTCCAGAATCACCCGTGTGAGATCCAGTTCTGTCAGGGGGTGGAAACCAAACACTTGCGCTGCCTCGTACTCATCGAGTCTGTCGAGTTGCATCCGAAGAGCTTCGGCGCCACCTAACGCAGGCTGCTGGAATTGCTGGGCCCATCTCGGGCCATCCATTTCTGGCCGACTCTCAAGGATTCTGTACAAGTGCAACTTCCATGTTGCCTGTTGCTGGATTTCCGCTTTGAGATACAAATTCTCAGCGCCAAGTCTCTTTACCAAGTCCACGGCTTGGGAATAATTCCTTGCCAGAACACTGTTGGGTGTGGTTAAACACGTCACATCGTCTCTGGTGGTCGATGCGCGTACACACATGGCTGCGTATTGCTTTTCCAGTCTGGCCACGGTGCTCTTCATCTCTTTCAGTTCTTCTCGTTGCCGCTGCCGCGCTCGTCGCATGCAGTCGCGGTTCTTTTGCCGTCGCAGTTGCATTGCCCCCGCATTTGGCAGTTGCGCGCAGTCGAGAACCTGCTCGGGGGCAACACTGGCCCATGTCAAGGGTCTAGTTGCCGTGGTTGTTGCCTTTGCCGCTTTTTTCAAACCTTTTCCACTGGACTGGTTTGCCACTCCTGCGGCCCACACTGCGTCCAGCTGCGACCCCAGACCTGCGCCACTCACAAATGGAGACACGGGGGCCTGCTCTTCGCCTCTGATGGGGCTTTTGCCGTCGCTGGTGTTGAGTGTGTGTACGTACTCGTCTGGACTTTTGACGGGACTGGCGCCGCTGATCGCCGCCATGGACTCGTCGTGCTGGCGCATCTCGTCCCACATCGCATCTTCGTAGCTGTCCAGGATTGCGGCCGCGCCTGAGCGCCAGTCCTCGTCCGCAGCGGCCATCGCTGCAGCGTCGTCCATCATGTGTGCCACTCGCTATCACTTGGCCGGTGGCAAATTGCTAGTGACTTTGGCCTTTTCCCAAAAATGTGCACCGGCGTTATCACAAACTAAAAGAAGCCTTGTCTTGCTTAAAATATGCTTCACAATCCGTTACTGGAACCAAGTCTAGTGAGCGGAATTGATGCCAGCATTTCACTTTTGTGTGCTTGGAAGGATAAACAAGCTGGATGGAGCTGCTCTTGCTGCGAGTATGGCCTCCTGGACGATGGGCAACGGAAGTACCCACACCAGCACAGCGGCAGGCTGCTTGCCAGCTGTGTTGAAGCTGCCGACCTGCCCTCTTGCGTGTGCTTTGGTCGGTCTCAAGGTGCGGCGTCGATAGTCGCGCGAAGTAATTCGGATGGGGTTGTGCGAGCACTGAAATCGTTCAACCAAGAGCAGGCGCTGAAAAGTACACACAACACGCCGCGACCACGGCCCATCCGGCTCTCCACGCTTTCTGTTGCGGTCTAACATTTCAGCAGCGATCACCCACGCGGTTACCTTGCCTTGATCAGGTCATCTTCCATCGAAGCACAGCAGGTCTGCTTCGTGCTCTGCGAGAGTGTCGACGACTATTTTGGAGCTAAATGTCTGGATGCAACGCCAAAAACGTAGAAACTGAAGTCGCGTTGTGGTGATCGCTTGATTGGCAACAAAAATGGAAGCGGTGACTGCTCAGCCTTTTTGATGAAGGAGGAAACTACAAACGTTACTTGTCCGTGTACATGCAACCAGCTACGCAACTGGTAAGCGCAACTCTCTCCACTCGGCAAAGTTTTAATTTTTTTGCTTTTTTTGGCCCCGGCCCTTAATTTCGGGGCGGTTGAATTGTTCGGCGGTTCCCTTGGCTTAGGGCTTTGCTTTGGTTGGGTTCGGACCCCCGGCCCAGTTTTTGCATGTAGTCCATTCGTCCAGTCGAAAGTGAAATGTGCTACTGTGTTGCATACTGCACACCCTGGAGAAAAGCCCCGTGTCAATATTTAGCGTTCCGAGTACGTAGCCTGGCACGTCGCGCAAGCTTCCTTCGTATTTCGAGTCCGATCGGTGTACTGAGGCGCCTTGATAGGAAACTAGCATTGATATACGCGAGAATGAGCTGGAAGATGGCGACTCGTTTCTAGCAAGCGGACGTACACAGTCTAAACGTTGAAATGTCCTCGTTCCTCCCCACGACGTGTCCACTTGCTGCAGCACTTCGAGTTGACAAGCTTGTTACCTTTTTGTATTCTCGAAGCCTCATTTACCCAGGACTTCCAGCTTTGTGACATTCACTCCGCAACTCATTTTCATAAACACACACTTCATGATCAACCATACTCCACCCAAACTTTTGCATTCTTCGAGTATGAGCGCTTTTATCCATATCGAACGACGCAGGGATCAATAACTGACTTAACTCGAGCGATAGGAGGTTCTCCATGATTACACGTGTCAATTCAAGATCATAGTGCTGGAACAGAAGTCCCCAAACTCTGTCATTTTACACATTAAAAACTTCCTCTCTGACCTTGGCCTCAACGAGGGCTGGCTACTGGAACTGTTGCGCCCATCGCGGGACGCCGATCTCCAGACGAGGCAACAGCACGGGGGCAGTTGAGATGCTATGTTGCGTGCTGGATCTCTGCCTTCCACTATTTCTTCAAGCTTGCGAACAGTTTACTTCGTGTTGTTCAGCTCTTCTCGCTATTTTCGCGGCGCTCTCCTCATCCACTTTCGGTTCTTCAAACATCGATTGTCGGATAGTGGTTGTATGTACAGACTGGGTGGCAGCGTGTCGGGGACTGAACTTACGCCTGACTTAAGGCAACCTGCCCGACTCGTTCCTCCGCTACTGTTCACAGTCATCGGAAGTACCAATATTCTGGTTATGTAGCAGTCCATACAGCAAATCCCTGTGCGGCATTTAGACGAAGTCGAAAGTATTGTGAAAACCGCTTCGATTGTCCGGCGATTTGGACGCGTAAAACAGCGCATAAATCTAAAACAGAGGGACTAAAAAAGGCATTTAATTGTGGTAAAACGTCGAATAATTTGAATTGTGTAAGCTAATTCATAGATGCCCTCGATGGAAAAGCTGGAGCTAATGCAAGCCCTCAATTGTCTCCGGCGGGTAAGCACAGCTTGGATGCATTGATATCCTGCTACCAAGGAGTCATCCAAAGAAATTTCACAACAGAAATTGATCGCTTTGCCTCAGCAACGGCATCAATCTCTATGGAAATGCATGCACGAGGGGTCTCTGTTTTAGACACGTCGTCGTTTTTGCGATGACCTGGTCTTGGAATGCCGAGGAGACATCGGACATTCAGACCGATTTAGAGATAAATCGGTCGTTCAGCTGTAAATCGGCCGTTCAAATGGATTTGCATAAATGACCTCGGAAATCTGAGGCGGCGTCTCTAAATACTTGAGACCTGGTCTGGTTTATAAATAAAACCGAGCTTCATAGTCTAATTAAGCCTCTAAATGGTCCGATTAGACATTCAACGTGGTTTTCACAACAGCACCTCTTGCAGCTAAAGACTAAAAAAAACCTCGACCCCGAACAACGGAATGGCTGTTTTTGGGCACAAAAAGTCAGTTCTGACTGCTTCAATCGGCAATATTAATATGACGAGATATCCGGTTAGGCGGCTTCAACGGCACCTTCATCGCTCCACGCAGCACATCGGCAATCTGTCTAGGTTAAACGATAAAGCTTGAACAGCACCATAAATATTTGACACTTTTCAGTAAAATTAGAACCATGCTCCAAAAAAAAGACAATAACAACAAGTATTTTAATAACTTGTCAGTTGGCCAAATATCTATATTATGACTTTGAAATGACGGATATTGCTTCAGATATGAGCAGAAATCACGTGTATCTAATAACAGGAGGAACATCCCATTATATTGGACATGACAATCCTGTGGCACTCTTATAGAACAGTATTATCAAGGTCAGCAGGAACTATTTGCAAGCTTTGAGTAACTTGAGTAATTTTGGGTTCCTGAGTATTAAATCCTACAGTAATTTGGGTTAGAATGACCGCCTCCTCTTTATATTAAACCCAGAGTACACAGCTTTTCACTGGAAGCTTCCATATACGCATATTCACTCGATTTCGAAGATCGTTAAAAAGTAGATCCAATCACTTGTACTGGACAATATAATACCGTTCTCCAGTCCATGTAGTGAGCATACAGGTGCCACGAGTCTTCATACCCTAATTTATATCGAGAGAGAGAGAGAGCTTATGGCGGAGAATGATAACAAAAAACCAGCAAGTAAGCGGGCTACAGAAACCACGTAGGTTAACGGATAAAGATGTGTATTACTCGCTTTCTCTATTCCCATTAGTCCCCGTAACGGGTTGTGCACAATCATATTGTATTTTAATTGGGGACCTTGCTCGAGGTCAATCAATAATTTGTTTATTGACAATTTTTTATCACTCAACTCGGCGTCGAGTACGACGCTCTACCTGCAGAACGGCAGATGCAACAAGCTGGGGGTCCCACAAAGTACGATTATACTCGAGGAAGAGAAGCGTCTCCAGCGTGGTTGGGTGCATCGCCCGCCGATTAACAGTAAGCACCAGGCCTGCCCGTGAGAAGAGTCTCTCTACTTCATTAGAGGTTGAAGGAATCCAGTCCAGGGCGATATAGCGAGAATGATGCAGTTGGGTCGTATCACGAAGTGCAAGATCAGCAAAGGATTGACCGACATCTTCGTCAGCATCTTCACGGTCGTTGCCGTGCGTGTCTACCAGGCGACTTATAGCCTGCAGGAAATTGCAGAATGAGGATACTTTAACAGCTTACATTTGGAGTACGTAGGTGTTAGCCTAGCAGCTAGGATTCTCACGGGAAAGCTCCCAGACGTGCGCCATGATACTCAAGAAGAAGGGTGCACTAAACGCTCCTTAAATTAAGCCATTACATTGTCTATAGAACGCAAGAATCAAGGTATTTAGCCAGCAGTATACACAAATCTTTTTTGAACGCAATTGGTACCGCTCTCAAACAATAATTGTATGCGGTTTTATTGGAATAACTGAAACACCAATTGTTTGTTACACAACTCTGTCCCCGTCGAATTTCCATCTCTGCTTATTGAGCGTAGCTTCGGACGCATTCATCATACTAAATTACTTTCATCTTCCCTAATTTACCGATGATGTAGTGCTTGGCCGCCACAACAAAATTCAGGTGTTTGCTACAGCACTTGAATGTTGATTGTTTTATTCAGACCCCACAAGGGACGAGTGAGGGGCGTTTTGCCCCCAGTACGTCTATATTTCCGGACAAGCAAAGGTTTTCCAGCCACTATGCTTACAGCTCCCAGCAAGCGCAGGACCTTCAGCCAGTTAGTACTGTATACAGCTTTGAGCTGTCACAGGAGTTCCAGCCACCAATCTCGAAGTCTTCCATTAGATCGCGGACAGTGAAATTTTACTGAGTCCAGCACTAGTAATCAGAGGTTCTGAAAAATTGACCATGTTATTATATGTCGTTTAACGTTGCAATGCAATGCAAGTAAATAATATAATTGTTGACCAATTATGGAGAGAAATATATTAGCACACTTTTGAGCTTAACTTGCTTTTTGTACATTATTAGCCTAACTATTTAACATGTATTGCCTGAAATTTTGTTTGGGAGGTCTAAGAACAACATATCCCGGTCTTTACATTTCAAAGTACTATGATACGCAAGCTTATCGCGAGTTGAGTTCGACAATGAGGTCCTCAACTTGTTGCAGCTGACAGTGGTCCACAATCTCCGGTCGAAAATGACCTCTTTGGTCAATTAAAACACTGTGTGGGCGCAAAGCCCACTATATTATCATAACATCGACACTGTCCCACTGTCCAAAGGGTAGCCCTTGATGAAATTGTACTGTCAGTGCATGTGCACTTGTGTACCAATTTTTATTGCTGACTAGCGCCTCCTTGATAGTGCTCTCGTAAAGCCATGCGGGTTGTTACAGGCAATACGTGTTAAAACATTTGCATATTTTCTAATCATCGGCCGAAAAGTGGAACAAAAATAGATTATTCCGTTCAAAACTGTTTTGTTTTGCGTTTGATAGTATTTTTTCTAAACTCTTTGTAGTCTTCTTACATTACTTCATGTTCTCCACTGCTGAAACAACTGCTATTCGGAACTGTTATGACGACGAAACAGCCTTGCCAGTGTCCAGCGGGCGAAAATATGGGCGTTGCAACAAAGATACATTAAGAAAAATAGTATTCCCAGCTTAAGTCGTAGACCATCTAATAGTTATTTACGTTGAAAAAAATAGTAGGCTTTCACATATACGGACTGCAGACGCAATCAACTTTATACTACGTTGTACGTAAGCATAACGTAACCTTGGGATTCTGTATGACTACGGGGTCTGTAAACAATCGAACCCTCGACGTTGGTGAACTCCAATCATTTTTCACTCCCATTCCACAATTCTCCGAGTGCTCAACAATTCGAACGTCTGGAATGCGTCGCAACTCAATCTCATTGTTAACTACGCTTGTTTTTTTTCTCGCATGCGTTAGCAGTGTCTCGGCGGAGACGACAGCAGTAAACGTGCCAGTTAACGCTCGTTTGTATGCCACGAACCAACGCCATGGCCATGTCTTTACGAATAGGCAGCTGAAAGGTTACGGAACAACGACTGAAAGCGACGAAGAGAGAGTCGGTCTTGGCCCGCTCACCGGTTTGGTTCATGCTGCTACATCAAAGATCGATGACTTTATCGCCCCAGCAAAATACAATTATCTGGTGAACAACTTGCGCATCGGCAATAGTGTCGAAGAAGCTCTGACAAGCTCGCAACTGAAGACACTGAGTCAGTTCGTTGCCAAGTTCCGGAACAAGAACCCAGGGAAATATATCTCGTCGATTGCGCCACTAACTGCGAAGTATGGGGACGACGTTGTGGCGAGGGCGCTCGTCCAATTGGAGAGGGACGGCGATATGACTGATCTGGTGAAGCAGTTGCGGGGCGAGCAACTGATGGATTGGCTAAGGACTGGCAAATCTGTTGACGATGTTTTCAACCTACTCAAACTCAAAGAGGACGGGTACAAACTCCTTCACAGTCGAAAGCTCCGGGCGTTGGAAGACTACATTACCCTGTATAATCGGGAGAAATCTACCGATGAAACATTGGTAAAGGTCTTGGCAACAGGCTTTGGTGGAGATGGCAACTTGGTGGCGCTTTTAGAGCAAGCAAAGAAACATGTGCGATCGGTGTACAAGGCCAGCTCATTGGATGCTGCTCTACAGACCAAGTGGCAAAGCGAGAAATTGCCACCGATGAACGTCTGGTCGCGACTTCAGTTCAGTGATGATGTGAATGAAGCAATTAGCAGTGGTAAGTTGGACATGTACTATAAGTACATCTCGGAGAACTATCGGAAGAGTAGGGGATCAGTGCTTGAGAGGTATATCGCTAAATATGGTGAAGTTGAAGTGGCAAAGGCGCTTGTAACTGCGAAGGGTAACGATGCCACGAGGAAACTCGCGACGAGGCTACAGAAGCAGCAATTAGAGGGTTGGCTGGCAACCAAAAAATTCCCCGATGACGTTTTCGTGCTGCTTAAGATTAAAGATGACGGGATTTTATTCACGAGGAGCCGGAAATTGAAGACTTTGACAACGTATATCAAAATGTACAACACCCACAAAAAAACCCAAGACCAAGCAGATATCTTCAGGGTGGTCATAAATGGCTTCGGTGGCGATGCTGCTTTCGCGCGTGTGGTCGTTAAAGGGGTGACGATGCCAGATTCGCCTGAAATGTTTAGAACGGCCCAAAACTACGAAGATGCGTTGTTTAAGGGATGGCGACAGAGCCAAATCGAGCCGAAAGATGTTATCACGAAGGTTTTCAACAAAGAGAACGGTGCTGCTAGCAGTTTGGAAACGGAGATTGCGGCTCGATACTCGGAATTCTATAAACGCAAGACTCCAGCAGCTTCTTAGACTTGCTTTGATAGATCAGCTTCAGCGCTCTCTTCTTACCATCTTTGTTTAGAGGTAAAAAAATAAAATAAAAGAACACTTTCTAAACAGCTTTCTTCTATTGTGACTTTTTTCTGTAACATTTTCCCTTTTTACTGCGACCATGTTATTTGCTGGAGCCCCATCAACACAAAAATCTCCACGTCATCTGGTTCCTCAGTGTAGCCTAACTTAGCCTAACAGAACACGCTAGGCGGACCAGTTAGTATCGGAATATGCTGTCTCGTCCGGCATACCACCAACCGGTTCTTCAGCATGACAGCAACCTCCCGGCTCTCGAGCGACGTCAACATCTAGCCCATTCTGTCATCTAAGTTCCGTAGAAGGCTGCAACATATTCAACGAGCTTCTGGTATTTGGTTGCTCGTGATGTCTGCCTTCCTACGTGGAGATCAAATGAAAATCTCCTCCCACGAAACGTCATGCGTGATTCTCCAACCACTAGCACAAGTTCCTGCAGGTAGACTTTAATTTCACTTAGTACCGCAATCAAGCGATCGGTGTCAGATTGTGCCGGAGAGTAATTTTCGACAGCTTTCAGTCGCAGCTCCCACACGCTGGAAAACTTAACCAGAATATACTGCGACGACGAATACGCCCGCACCCATTTCACGACTGCGTTAAGTTGGTCCCCAAAGGTTCTTCAGCGACCTTCGGATATTTTCTCCAATGCTCTTAGAATTTCATTTTTACGTTCTAACTAGCTCACGAGAAGTTATGGTCGAGTACCATGAGTGAAGGAGTGGTGGTTGACCATTGTTGTCACTGACTGGTGGAGAAAGAGAGTTCTGCTGCGAGTAATACGAGCGTGCTAAGAATTACTCGTGCATGCGTGCACGCTCTATGAGTGGCTGTGGCCACACGGTCAGAAGACATCTCGGGGGTTTTGAGGCTTGCGGTGCTTTCCCCTACAACAACACTTAAACAACAAACAATATCATTATCCGATTTCCCTCAATTGAGCCACTGCTTCCTTTCCTGGTGTACCACACAGGCAAAGTGTGACGAGGGTGCGGGATTGCATTCTCCTAATTTTTCCCATGTGAATATCTCGTTGGCAAATCCGTCAAAACTCTCCAATGGCGATTCACCAGTGTTACAAAATCCAGCATACTCTGCTTGGTATCTTGCAGAAAGTAAATTGCACTGTCGCTCCTCGCTCTGCGAAGACGCACCATTGATCGATCCCTCCACATGGAATTCGAATCTGCCGCCACAGATGGTATCTGAAGCCCGGCACCTGAGATTCGGGCTCGATATCTACAGCAGATTGCTCAGTTTCCGGTTGCGTCTGTGGCACAATGGGAGATGGTTGTCTCCCCTCGATATCGAACGCACTACTCTCGGTGCCGTGTGCGATAGCGACACATTGCACACTGGTACTTGGTTGAGGGTTTCTTCACCGATCGTGTCACAGTATCGAGCGAGTCACTAGCCTGTACTGTAGTGTGGCTTGGTCTTTTTTGTTATTTTGTCGGGTAGTCGATGTATTCCTTATAGTGACGATAATGCTCTTCCGTCAAAAATCCTGTGTAACGTTATAGTTAAGTCCAAAACAACCCTTAGCGAAGACGCTCACGTTAATCACAGTACCGTAATTAACCCCTTGAACCCGAGAGCCTGGACCTTACAAGATAAGGCCTGTTTCTTAACTTGGACCATACACGTTAAGAAAAATTACATTTGATTTTTGTTTTGGTCTTTACAAACTCCAAGCCATGTAGGGGTAGGTGAAGATTCCAAGCTTTCCCGACAGATAAAACACACCAACATAGACAATCCAGTTCGAAAGAACGCCTGCAGATCAAACCAGCAACTTCCTTTTTTTATTTCGTAGGTAGACGTCTGCCACCACACAAAATTTGTGGCTCACTTCTGGATTCCCCTCACGAGCGAAGAACCCCACAATTTCAAAAATGGCATTCCGGGTGCGATGGTGTAAAATGAAAAAGAATGGCTGGACCACAAAGAAGCCATTAGACCTTTCCGTTGACTTTATCTATCTCAAGCCTAGAAAGACGATCAAGGATGTTGAAGGAGAAGACGTGTTTACTGGCGAGGAAGCTGCGATGAAGTACCTGGAAAAGATTGACCTAGGTTGCACTGAATATTCAGCTGGATGTCTTCGATCTGTACTGACTGTGTTATGTGAACAGCGGCGCTTCGAGCACAGAAGCAGGCAAGACGTGATGGATCTGGAAACGCTGCCCGACGTCGAAACGCTGCGAAAGCTGTCAAACCTGTTGCAGCAAAGCGTACGTGTGCTGTGGGCTGTATTATACACGTTTGCATTTTACTAATCGTGTATGTTGTAAATTAGCTTCCAATCCTTCCCCACCCGACGGCTGCCCCTCGTTACATCCACCCGCGCCAGTTCAACGGCAACTTCTCGAGACTAACCCAGTTCGTCTATGTGCCGGAAGCCCGGCACACATTACTCCGCCATCATCTTCTGGCCCACCACTGGATCTTGCTTCAAGTCCACCAAAGAACCTACTACAAGCTGATTCTCCGCATGACACAACTGTTTCTCCCAGTGAACATTCTACCGGAAGCCCAGAAGGTAATATCTTGTATGATACACGTTTGGACTGAACTAATCTTGTATGGGATATCTTATTGTGTTGCAGACTCTCCAATTAGTCAAAGAAACCTGGATCCAGATTTTGAAGAAGCCGAATTAAGTAGCAATACATCAGATCATTCCGACACCGACAACCAATCTGGTGACCAAGTCGAGGATGACGAAGAATCTAGTCAGTCTCCATACAGTGTGGGTCAATCGGGGAAAGCTGGGGTGGAAGAATAACCGAAGGTAGGCACGCTGCATAATGGTCTGTCTCGTGACTTGTATGTACATGATATACGAATGGCCTAACGTGTATCATTGCTATATGTTGTATGTGAAATTGTGATCAGATTGCAAACGACGATGACCCAAGCATATTTGTTGCCTTTGAGTCAGACGCTGAATTCGATGATGGAGACGAAGACGGTCAGTTTGTTGATGCTATTGAGGATGACGTGGAGCAGAACCTGTGCCACCTGAAATGCAACTCGACGACGAATTACTCTCAGCGCTAGGTGGTATGGACGGCATTGTTTCGGGCGTAGTGCCAGATGCATATTTGAAGGAGCTCGGCGTTAATGGCTGGTCAGACTTGACGACTCACTCACCCTATAGCTACCTACAAGAGCCTTACGAGTCGCGTTCGCCTGAAGCATTGCGGCAGGACTACCCGCAGTTGTACAGTGGTGCATCCGGACCAACTCCAAGGGCTTTGGCCGCAGCTTCAACCCCATCTGGAGCTTTCTTCTATTTCCTACAGCCGCAGTTGTGGGAGGATATTGCTGCTGAACCCAACGGTTACTTCGAAGCTAGTCTTGACGAACGTGTACAAGGACAACATGTAAAACAACTATCTCGGGAACTGAAACACCAACAGTTCAAAGCCAAGTCGTTAGAAGACATCCGTGAAGAAGTCCAGAGGATGCCAATTCTCGAGGCAAGGGAGCTGTGCGTTTTCATTGGTCTATTGCTGGCACGATCCGTAGTTCCAAACAAGGAAAAACTAGCAAACCACTGGAAAACGAGAGAGGAAGGCGCCATTCCTCGCGGGCGCTTTGGGCGCTTTATGACGCGCGACAGATTCATGCATATATCTCGGAATCTGCATTTCAGCAGTAACGGAGACCCAAGAGCCGCGACAGATCGCTCAAGGAAGCTGAGGCCTGTCGTAGACGCGCTGCAAGATCGGTTTGCAGCTGGATATACGCCGCCGGCCGTCATGGCGTTCGACCATGAGAGGTTACCGTCCCGCTCCACGTTCAATCTGATGCGTGTGTACATCAAGGACAAGCCCCACAAGTGGGGGACGAACCTGTTCATGTTGTGCTTCTCCAACTTCAGCATACTGTATTCGGTGAGTAGCAGGCGTGTCTCCGGGCACGCCTGCATTTTTTGTTTTGGTTCCTACGTTTCGATATCGTGTATGATACTAACAAGCGTTCTATAACCTTGTATGATACAGCTTTGAAGTATTTTGCGAAAAAAAAAGCGATCGGGCCAGAGAAGTTCCGCTGATCAAAAGTCTGACCCTGCTGCCGTCGTACGCAACCTGAAGCAAGTGTTTGGGCCAACTGCACCGCCCAATGGCGAGATGCGACTCGTTGTCATGGACCGGTTTTATTCTTCTGTGCCTCTATCAATGCAGCTCCTGACCGTGGGGTTCAACTCTATTGGTACGGTACGGACGGATCGCCAACGAAGCTGATCCCAAAGAAACTGGCTGGAGACAAGAAGAAACCACCAAAGATCAAAAGACTAGGCCAGTAAAAATAGAGCGGGACACGTTCATCGTGGCTGAATCCTTGTCAGTACCATCAATACGTGTGCTCCGTTGGTGGGACACACGGGCCACATGCTGAGTATGGTGGCAGTGTGCAGCCAGATCGTATTGTTCGTCGGGACAAGTTGACAAGAGAGCAGCACGAAGTGGCCTGCCCGCGCATTGTGAAGGACTATCAGACGTACATGGACGGCGTCGATGTCCATGATCAGTTACGTCTGCAACGGTAAGTCTGTTATGTTGTATATACAAGCTTAATTATATCTAATCGTGCATGGTACATGGTATAGATACTCGTTGCAACTGTGCATCAAGTACAAGAAAAACTACAAGGGTCTGTTCCTAGGACTCGTTGATCTAGCGATTATCGACTCCTACATTGTCTTTAATGCTGCTAGAGCAGCTTCCAATCTCCTCAAAACTAGCTACATTGAGTTTTTGAAGCAACTTCACCTCGAACTTTGCCAGCTGAGGGATGAAGACTGGGAGGGGCTCATTGTCGACGAGACCTTTCAAGCAACACCTTTGAAGGATAAAAATACTGTTAGAATCCGCCGTAGGAGTCACACGCCGATACTAAACGACGAGTGGAGACGTGGCAACAACAATCAAGGGCGAAAGCGGCGGACAAGGGCCTGTACAGTGTGCTCATTGCTAAAAGGCGCTGGGACCGGCCGTTGCGGCGACTCGTCAAGTTAGTGTAGCTCGTGCAAGCTACAAACAGCGTCTAAAAACCTATGGCGTGGTGTGTCTTCTTGTGCGAGAAGAAACGCCACACCTTGAAGGGCAAGCTGCTCCCTGCTTCGACATTTGGCACAAGTCATGGCGCAATGGGGCCCTGGCTCCTGCGCCACAGCACGGGGGTAAAAGAACGATCCGTGCAAGGGCTCCTGCGCAACATCCAGCCCAAGGCAATGACAGCGATGAGGATTCAAGACACGAGTCTATTGTGGGCAACTCCCGCCAGCAGAAGCGTGCCCGTCGCGTGGTGACTGATTGAAAAATTGCGTCCGTCTTTTTCTTTTGATACACCTTTTTCAGACCAAAATGAGAAATTCTCAGATCAAAACAAGAAATGCTCAGATCAAAACAAGAACCCTCGTCAAATACGATTTACAAATCCGTATCTGATATCATGGGGTTCCAGAATTCGAGAAGTCTAGAGGGCTCATGGGCACTTCAGTGGCAGAAACGCAGAAGCACTTCTCATTTAGTGATGAGATACAACAGCTACACGGACGACCAGCGCCAACGCGTGCTGTCTACTGCGAGAGAAGGAGGCAATTGGGCTCAAGTAGCTCTTCACAACGGCATTGCTTACCAAACCGCGTGGAGATGGGTGAATCGGGCGCGAACTACGAATATCTGGACGCCAAGTGTTGGTCAACGTGGTGGGCCACGTCGTGTTAAGATCACACCCGAGCATGTCGAGTACATGGTGACTTTGCTGGAAGACAAATGTTTGCTGACGTTGTACGATTTAGTGGACGAGCTTAAGGTTAAGTATGACATCGATGTGGTACCCTCAACAGTTTACAATGCGCTAGATGCTATTTGCTTCACATGCAAGAAGATCCACAGCGAGCCAAGTGAAATGAACTCGAGCCGCGTAAAGGAGTTACGACGGCAGTACGTCAAGGACATCATGCTAGAGCAAGCCAAGCGCAAGAGAATCTTGTATTTCGATGAAACTAACTTTAACTTGTTCTGTACGCGGAACTTTGGTTGGAGTCGTCGCGGATCTCGTGCTGTGGTCGTTCGTCCGGGTTCGCGAGGTGAAAACCTCAGTATCATCGCCTGCATATCGGCGTGTGGTTTGGAGCATGTGAAGTATCGCTGGGGCACGAATGATGCTGAGTCCATCGAGATATTTGTCCGTGAACTTCTGGACAGCCTCATGGACCAAGGCATTTCACTCTTCAACGTCGTTGTCGTCTGCGATAACGCTTCTATTCATGCCGGGGTGAAGGAGGTAACACAGCTGTCTGACTACGTCGGAGTGGAGCTCATCAAACTGTCTCCATATTCACCCATGCTCAATCCTATTGAGAATGTATTCTCGGTATTTAAGTCAGGGGTGAAGAGCTACCTAGCAGAGCATCGGGATGCCATTCTGCGTCCCCCACGAGGTGTTACGAAAGCTGAACATCGTGCTAGCTACATGATTCGCGCCGCTAAGCACAGCATGTCAACCAAAGTCACTTCAGAGCTTTGTGACTCCGAGGCAGCTCATACGCTCAGCTTTCACGCGCGTGCATTGGACTTAGAGGACATGCCTGTGGGTTCTTGATAACATTTGAAAGGTAATCAGTTGCTGTAAATATCACTGATTACAGGTCCTCTCATTTTGGTCTGAACATTTCTTGTTTTGATCTGAGAATTTCTCATTTTGGTCTGAAAAAGGTGTATTTGTATTGCTAATATTACACCATTCTGATCCGCTACACATGTTTTGTGATGGAGTTGTGATGCACTTACTGTTCACGGCTATGCACTGCAATAAAACGATTTAGTCACAACTATGTACTCACTTTGTTGCAAATCATACAGTTTTTTAAAGCGCAAGTGTGTATAGTTGTAAGTGTCAGATTGGACCATACACGATAGTGAAAGGCGTCTTCATCGATGTTTAGGTTTAGCATGCGACTATCCCATATACATGTTACCATACTATGTAGTGCTTTGTATACTAACCTTTACCCGCACATACACGTTAGAACACCTAGGGTTTAGGCAGAAATGGGATACGGTACTACCTCGGGCTCAAGGGTTTAAAGACGTAGTCCAGCAAATCGCCATTCGGCATGTCGGTGTCCTGTGTAGAGCTTCATGAGAAGAAACCCACCGTCGCCAGCCCTTTCCTGAAGAAGACGAAGACGGGCAAGCGGCTCAAGTGGTTAATGCAAAACGCTTAGCTAACGGGCACTTACTATTGGCAGCAGGCTTCATTGTGTAGGTAGCTTGTACCTCTCGATACATGCGTATGAATGACTCGCGGTCACACCTTAGTTTCTTATGAAACCAATTAGTACTTGGAGCACGCAGTGCATCCTCAAATGTAGTAGTGCTGAACGTTGAGACGGCCGTAGGTGGGCGTTGGCAGATTCGTTTGTCCATTGTAGCAACAGTGAGTGGTACAGCACATGCACTTAGCGTAACGACCGCCACAGCTACGGCTTCACGGTTCATTCTTGCACCGACGATAGTCTTTAAATGAGTGGAGACAAAGCGATTTTCTCCAGAACATTTGTTCTGTAGTCAGAACACCCCTGTTCTCGTAGTCTGAAACACAGTGCTCCAGAATGCCGCAGTACTTAGGCCTGTTCTTGCGAATCACTACCTCTAGTCAATATTGACAGGAAATTTTTTGATTTGACAACTCATTTTGACATTTAGAAGCTTAAAACACGTAAGCAATTGCACAATTAAGGCCCTGGTTCAAGAAGCGTTGGCCAAACTTTACGGCTGGTAAATACCACCCTTGTATTTACCGCGGTATTTACCGGGTTTTTACCACTGCCATAAATGCCCAAAACTGGTATAAACTCAAAACGGCGTAATTCGGAGGTTGTACCACTGTAGCGCTAAATCTTTACCTCGGGAAGGCCAATTCTCGGCTGCCAGAGGAGCGCAAGATGCACTCCTCCTCTCGTGTGCATTGGCGTTTGCAGTTTAGCCAGAGCGAGCATGATGAACCTGGAGCGAAAACTGGAGCTCTCACTGGCTTGGGATTTCATTCATTCACGGAAACAGCACCAACTTCGCCGTCCTTGAGTCGCTCTCTCAGGCAGCGCACTCCGGGCTCTGCAGGACAGCTCGTGGTCCGCGGAGTAGTGCCAGCAGCCCTCATTGTGTGGGCTACCCACAACTTGCTGACCTTGAGCAGGTACCTGGTC